AAAGGAACAGTAACATGATCAGAATGGGTTCGATTAAGATGAAGGACTGACTCCTTGTGGCCCAATAAACGTTCCTTTTTCATTTCTTTCCTCTGAAATTAAACCTTCGACCAGCCCAATGAAATACCTCATTAACAGTAAGAAAGAAAAGTCCAAATTCACAGTGCAACTTCCGGTCCATTAACCCAAGTTTGTTGGATACAACCAATATGCAAGGTAATTTAAAACTGGCCCAACTAACTAACACAACCCAATGTACAAAAACGCCCACAAACAAATTTAAAGTCTAGTTCTAATGTAAACAACAAGTAACAACATTAAATAATTCGTGCTGAAGGGCAAGATGATTAGGATCAAATTTCAAAAACATCCCACAAAAAACCAAATTTAAATAGGGTTTGTCTATCTTGTGCCTTTATGGCACTGGATAAGAAGTAATAATTATATAATTATTACAATATTTTTATCTTGAAATAGTAAAATTAATTTTTTTAATTACAATACTATGTGTTAATTTTTTATTCATTATTTTGAAATTAAGATCAAAATTTATTTTTTTAATTTAAAATTTCACATCTTTTAAAAAAATTGACAATTATTACTTAATAATTAAATCTTATCATATGCTCTAAAGATACAAGATAAACAAACCCGTTTAAATAATATAGAAGGGTAACTATCATAAAACTTGAAGTTTACACGGCACTAAAATTCACATATGAAGTTTAATTTAGAATCAATAACTTGTTGGACACAACTCACAAGTTATCAACTTTTTTTTTTTTGTTTAATTTATTAATTTTTGAAAATTATTATAAAAAAATGTTAAATAGTTTGAAATTTTAATGATATGGAATGCCTAAAGTCCTACACGGGGGAGGAAAGGAAACTTAAAAGTCTTTAAATATGTAATCTTTTCGTTAGTAAAAGGAGGTGAAATGGTTCTGAAGAGTGTCCCATCCTTCTATAATTTAGGGTATGTTGACGTGTTGGGCTTTTAAATTTGTCTAAAATATATTTATTTTAAGGGATTCCAAATTTTCAGGACTGTTTGGTAGTTCTGAAAATCCCTTTTTTGTTATCTTAATATGAAAAAAATTGTTGTGGTATAGGTTGTTTGAATTGTACAATAACAATTGTTTAATGAAATATGAGTTTTTAATTATTGAAAACTTTTCTCTCCTTTAATCATTTATATTTTATAATTTAATATTATTTAGATGGCAAAACAATAAATCCTTTTAATTTTTAATTTTTAAAATTTATTTTTAAACTTCAAAAATAAATTAAGTTGCTAAAAGTAATAAGACATAACTCTTTTGACGTGGCGTTTCTCTATTTTTAGAAAGGCAAAAATATGACAGAAGGACCCGAACTTACACCAAATTCACAATTTCTGACCCAAACTTCAATTGCGCTCAATGAAGGTCCCGAACTCCACGAAATTCCCAAATAAAGTCCCAATTGGACGGAAAACTAACTTCCGGTCAAATCTCCTATTATTCCGTTAATGTTCCGTCACACTTCACACCAAAAAAGTGATTAAATTCTAATTTTGGTCCCTCAACTTCATTAAGTTGCACTTTTTTTCTCTCAACTTCATTAAATTTCACTTTTTGCCCCTTAACCTCATTAAATTGCACTTTCTTATCCTTCAACTTTATAAAGTTATACTTTTTTAGTCTTTAAACTATGTTTTGCACTTTTTTGGTCCTTAAACTATTTTTTGCACTTTTTTGGTCCTTAAACTATTTTTTGCACTTTTTTTATTCTTTAACTTTAACAATTGTACAATTTTGATACTTTCATCAGTTTAAATCGTTAACTTCATTCAGGTGACATTTTTTATATTTTTTTTATGACATGTATAATCTAACTGGAAAAAAAATAATAACATAGATCATCTAACTAGAAATAATAATGACATGAATAAATAAAATAATATGTAGATAAATTTTTATATTTTTAATAAAAATAAAAAAACCTTTCCACCTATTTTCTTCCTCGGCTAGAAGAAAGAGAAAGAAAGAGGGGGAAGAAAATAGGTAAAGAGGTTTTTATATTTTTTTTATAAAAAATATAAAGATTTATCTACATGTTATTTTATTTATCCATGTTATCATTTTTTTCCAGTTAGATTATATATGTCATCAAAAAAATATAAAAAATACCAAGTGGACAGAGTTAATGGCTTAAACTGATGAAGGTATCAAAATTGTGCAGTTATTAAAGTTCAGAGATTAAAAAAGTGTAAAAAATAATTTAAAGGCCAAAAAAGTACAAAAAATAGTTTATGAACCAAAAAAGTACAATTCAATAAAGTTTAGGGATAAAAAAGTGAAATTTAATGAAGTTGAGGGACACAAAAATGAAACTCAATGAAGTTGAGGATCAAAATTAGCATTTAACTAATTTTTTTCAAGTGGCGGGTGTGAAATGTGACGGAACATTAACGGAATAATAGGAGATTTGACGGAAGTTAATTTTCCGACAATTGGGACCTTATTTGAGAATTTCGTGAAGTTTGGGACCTTCATTGAGTGCAATCAAAGTTTGGGTCTGAAATTACGAATTTGGTGTAAGTTTGGGTCCTTATGTCATATTTTTGCCTTTTAGAAATTTATTTTTGAACTTCAAAAATAAAATTAGATTGCCAGAAGGAATTAGACAATAAAAATGCTTTTTTATAATATGTTTCGGTTGATGAAAGTAGAGGGGAGTAAAAAAAAAAATCTCTATTTAGTTATTAAAAGAAGTAAAAGGAAAAAGAGGAGAATCATTTACATTATTTTTCTTCTAATTTACTTACTTTATTCTTCTTAATTTAAATATACCAACTGCTGACACAGTTGTTTTTAAGGGAGTTTGAAATTTTCTATTTTACTCAAGGAAATAATTTTGAAATAATTTTTTTGTATTATTTTTTAATATAACTTGATGTATCATTTAAATAATTGATTCATTTTATTTATATGTGACTCACAATATTAAATGTATTTATTTTTTTAATAATATGTAAAAATTATATCAAAATATAATATAAAAAATTATCCTTTTAGCAACTCCTTTTTATATATCCTAAGAAATCTTGAAATCTTAAAGATATTGATGATATAATATTCATCACGGAATATAAATTAATTCCTTTTCACCATCTTCTTCGGTTGGTTCCCACTATTCTAAAAATAATACATAAGAAACACATTAAAACGCAATAGTATTGGTTAAACATGTTTAGCAGACATCAGACTTCGTATCCAAAAGGGCAGAAAATACACCAACCACATTTACGAAAGGGTTAACTATGCGTGTATCCAGTTGTAAGGTAGGGAGGATGAAGACGTCAAGTTAAGGGAATGATCCCTGGCCCCGTGTTTTTTTTTTTTTGTTGGTTAAATGCTAATTTTGGTATTTAAACTTTGAATTTTATATAGTTTTAGTCCCTTAACTTTTTTTTTCTCTTTTTTGGCATCTCAATTATAAAAAATGTATTTTTTAATCATTTCATCAATTATTCCATCAAGTATATCCATATGTGTATATTTTTAATCTCTGAACTTTTAAATTCAAGAATAAAAATCATGTAAAATTTTAAAATTAAGGAACTAAAAATATGTATATATGGATAAATTTAAATAATTAAATAATTAAAAAAGTGTATTATTCATAATTGAGACTAAAAAATGTATAAAAAAGATGAGAAACTAAACTGTACAAAATTTTAAACTTGGGGGGACCAAAATTGACATTTGACTTTTTTTTTTTTTTGAACCACGTCTCTTGTTTTAAGTTTGACTTGTTTGGCTTTATTTATATTGTGAACGCAATTTCTCCTACTCAAAAACGCGTCCTACGATGGAGAATTGGAGTCAATTTCCTAGTCTTGAAACTTTATAATCTTTACATCATGCTTAGTTAAATCCAACTCAACAAAGTTTTTTCTTCCATCTCTAATGAGGTAAAAATCAACATTTAGCTCATCACCTTATAAAGTTGTTAGTAGGTTTTAGCCCTTCACCTTATAATATGACAGTTTTAACCTTTTATCTTACAAAATTGATAAACTTTAACCCCTCACCTTACAAAGTTGATAGATTTTAACTATTTACCTTATATTATGGTATTTTTAACCCATCACCAATATAAATTAAAGAAAATAACCCTCATCTAACATCAAGTTATAACATTCTGTTAGTTTTGTTAGTTGACTGTTAATATCTGTTAGCATTCCGTTATAAAAAATATGAAATTTAAATTCAATTTTATTTGTTAGTTTCATTAACGAATGCTAACAGTCAACTAACAGAACTAACAGTCAGCTAATAAAACTGACAGTTAGCTAACAGAATTGACAATTAACTAACAGAACTGACAGTCAGTTAACAGAACTAATAGAACATTAAAACTTGATGTTAAATAAGGGCTATTTTCTTCAATTTGTACAGATAAGGGGTTAAAAATGTCATAATATAAGGTGATGAGCTAAAACCTACCAATTTTGTAAGGTAAGGGGTTAAAGTCTATCAATTTTGTAAGATAAATGGCTAAAAGTATCATATTATAAGATTAGAAGCTAAAACTTAATAATTTTGTAAGATGGGTTTGTAAAAAAGAATACTAACTTTTTTTATTTAATTTCTTTTTCGTTGACACAATTCAAAAAAGATATCTTTGGTTCAAAAATCTCAACATAGTTAAATATTTTGATTAATGATCACAAAGTAGCGGAGAGCCACAACCCTTTAGTTTCTTAAAATTTTGTTAAATGAAATCTTATAGTTTATAAAAATATAAATAGCACCTTAGAATTTGAAAAAAAATAAAATATTTATTTAAGAAA